ATGTTTAAAAATAACATGAAACTGTTACAGGTATTTTAGTGATTCGATGATGACCTTTTCGTACACGAGCATAATTGCCCTGTCCAATAACGTCTCCAACTTCATAGAAACCAATTGACCAAGTTTCTTTTTTAAAATCTTCCGTCTGTATATCTACACCGGCTTGCGGTAAACCATCATCGCTTTGCGTCGGCAAGGAATCCGACGTTGCAGCTTTAGCAGCAGTAGTTCCATTGTTGCAGCAGCAATGGCATCCGCCATAAGCAGGCACTAGATTTGTACATCTATAGAGATTCATCACCGGCGTTGTATTTCCAAATGACCCAAATGCCGGTGTTAAATAGTTAGTTGGTGCCCAACGAAATAATGGTGCGGCGGTTGAACGATGACCTGTTAATAAAGTTTTCTTTGGAGGTATCTGATCTTGTTGTTGTAGCTGTAGCTGTTGCTGTTGCTGGTGTTGTTCTTGTTCTTGTTCAGTGTTAAGCGAATCAGAACCAGTCACTGATTGTGGTTTAATGTCGCTACTTTGATCGCCATATTCAGCGGTTCCAAGAACGTCGTTGTTGTGTTGAAATGAAGTTGGCGACATTCCTGAAGAAGTAACGAACAAAATTATTAATCCAATCTTTTCTTTCCGCTTATTTTTCAACTGATTTCATGTTCGAAACGATAAGTATTAAAGTGGAAAACGAAACATTCAAGACAACTTAAGAAAATGCAACTGCTACATTGTAAATTAACAAAGATTAACAAATCACTCACAATTAAAAAATTGAGAAGAAGAAGATCAAAAGAATAGAAAAAAGTGATTTTCCTTGAAAAAAAAAAAAGGAGAAGAAAGTTTCAAGAATTTGTTTCTGAGGAACGGTAGTATAATAGAAAAAACTTTAGATTTGTCAGAAAGGGGGACAACAAAAAGATGAGTGGGAAAAGGGGAGGAAAAGAAGTGGCTTATTGGTAAAGCAAGCAGCACAGTTCAGCACATCCCGAGCTCTTAACTTCTAAAATCTCGGTCGCTAATGTTGCTGATGGTGATGGCGCTGTTGCTGCTGCTACTGCTACTGTTGCTGTTGAGGTTGGTGTTGATGACGGTGATGGTGGTGGTGATGATGATGATGGTGCTGCTGCTGCTTTTGTTGCTATTGCTATACTCTCCCTCATTCTTCATCTCATACTATTCCCATCAACAATGACGTAAATTTTTTGCTGACGTCATCAGCTCAAGTCAGGCAAAAAACGATAAACTCCGCCCAACTGTGAAAGAGTCTACTCAGTCTTTCTATGTGCAACGTCTGCTGCGTTTGTTCTTTCACTTCAGATACTCTTTACAGTCATCTATGGCTACACTTTTTTTACAAGGAGCATTAATGCTGTGCCAAAAAAACACACATACAAATTACACACATCGAATTCTGTTATAATTTTTTTTTTCGAGTCTATAGGTACAAACAACAAATATTTTTTATATAGTCATAAAAATAAAAATTAAATGAAGAAGAACAAAAAAAAAAAAAAAAAA